TGGGTCCCCTGAGCCAAGCGGCCCTGCAGCCCAGGAGGCCCGAGCCGAGCTGCAAACACGCGCGGGGCAGCCCCTCCGCTTCCTCAAAATGCGCTGACTCTCAGGGAAGCCCCGATCTGTCACTCCATCGCTGTTTTCCCAGTGCCTGGAACAGCTTCTGGCACGCCAATAGGTACTAGATAAATATTTGTTAATTGAAGGGGGGGAAAAAAAAAGCTTGGCACAGCATCATTTTGTCTAGTCTGAAAGTCGTCAGACTGAAGCTTTTTCTCCAAGTCCAAAACTCCTTGTGGAGCCTAGGCCTCAGGCCTTGCGGGGTGACTCGGTTCAAATTTACATCCACTCTGTGCTCCCGACTTCCCCACGCCACTGGGCTTCTCGGATCTCAGCCACATCCAGGAAGTTGACTATGTTTCTTTTTTTTGTACTGGGGATCAACTCTGGTCCTTGCACTTGCAGGAAGGTGACCTGAATCACTAAGGTAAATCTCAGGCCCTTCTACCCTCTATTTCTAACAATTCACTTTTGGGGTTTTTTTTTTAACTTTTTTTTTCTAACTTTGAGCCTTTATTCACGCCAGCTCCTGTATCTGGCCAGGCTTCCTCATCCATCTCTTTAGCTTTTTTTTTTTTTTGGCTGTACCGAAGATCTAACTCAGAACCTTGCACTTCAAGGCAGGTGCGGCGCCACTGAGCTAATTTCCCTGCCCCGCATCCATCTCTTTAAACTGAATCCATCTCCTGCACTCCCGCACTAGGGTAGAAATGAAACATGGTTGGTGAGCCCTTGTCATTTCCTTAGTGATAGAAAAAGACCAAGTGGGTTGCAGGTTTGGTACTTTCCGCCCTACCCGCCAACATCCAGAAAGCTGGTGATGACTGGTGCTTTTGAGCTCTAGGAAAACTCTTGAAGACTTTTAAGAGCTATATGCTTAAAAGAGGGCGGGGGACCTGCCCTCACTCTCAGACCTCCTAACTGTGCAAGTCTTTGGACCCACTCTGCAGAGGCAGAAGTGGTCATCAAGGGTATTTTTCTGAGTTCCCAACTTTGAACATCTTTAAAGAAAGGGCGTGGGAAACCTGTAATAGAACGTTGTGGAGTTCAACCATTCAGAAGGATGGGGAACTCAATCTGGGCCTTGCAGCCCGAGGTCAGTCAGCATCAGGGGGTTCAGCAATCAGCTAACTGAGATCAGGGGTCTTGCATCCTCGCTCTGTCTGAGCCATTAAATGGTAAATATACTATATTGAAAAGTTTGTTCACTGCAGACATGTTCTTTACTGCTTCTTGATTTCAATTTAATTCAAATGATTTAAGGGTGATAGACCAGTGACTACCACAGGTGGTCAGTGTCCAAGTTGTGCTTGATCTTAATGTGTTGCTGATTGTATCAGTTGGGGTAAAGCACTGCCGT